CCCCAAAACCCCAAAACCCCAAAACCCCATCAATCAGAATATTAAATGTATTGGGTGAATAAATAAAATAAACATATTTAAATTTAAAAAGATGAGTTCTAAGAGTAAAATAGAGGAAAGCGAATTTAAGCTTGCCTCTAACGCAAACTCAGAGGCTTAGTAAAGCAAGTTTCTGATATAAATCGAGATAGACAAGGACAAAGGCGCGAGGAATAATGAGGTCAGAACTAGTTTAAATGACTCATAGAAAATAAAACTACAAAATCAGAATACATCATATAGACCGCAAAATAATTTGAATTCAGGAAATGACACCAAGGACTCCTACATGAATTTTCTGAACAACAATAATACAAATTACGGATATATGCAATAGAAAAAAGATAAGTAAAAAGGCAGAAAGTAACAGCAGCCTGTATTCTCAGTGCTTGGTGGAGCAATCATGAGTTAAAACTAAAGCAAAAATGTCAGCATTGAAGAGGTCGTGAAAGATAAAATACGGAAAAATAATAACACATCATTGCTTTTGCCAGATATGAGAACTTAGTTATCTGGAATATAAACAGTCACCAGCGGAGGAAAAGAATTGAGAACCCCATCATCATTGCTCGCTCAGATAGTCGTGAATGGCGGCAGATACAGTAGCGCCAATCACTCACCGAATCAAGATGGATAAATAAAGCAAGGTAACAGAATTGAGCAACATGATACTCGTGCAAGTAGACATAAGAAATATAATAAGTAACTGACAGACTAACTAGGCTAAGTACTTGAGATATCCTCTAACAATTAAAACAATTACGGAATTGAAGACTATTCTCACAGCAACTAAAATCTGAGCTATATTGCTGGATCAGATCCTAAGACTCTTCTTAAAAATGAAATACTGAGGAACACTCAAACTCCTTCTGGCTTATTCGCGACATAGTAGATGGAGTTTATAGCAAATAACACGGCTGGAATCTACGAATTACTAGCTAGAAAAGAGTTTGAACAGTAGCAAAGTATTTAAGTTTCCCAGAGCACAAAGAATGCGACTCTCAATTTAATTGACCTCAAAAAAGGACAGCCAAATCCTTATAGAAAAGATGGAAAGAATATTGGAGATCTGCTAGCATACAAAGACTATGCTATGGAAAGAGCACATCAAAGCACCAGATAGAATAAGAGCTCTGTACTAAAATAAGTACTTGATGTGAGCATGAATCAAGATTAAATGAGAAATTTAAATTATAGTATCCTGCTTGGTCAAAATTCAAATGATAATCAACCTCTAATTGAAAAATAACACAGATTGTTGAAGAACAGTTATCATCCAACTTAGCAAAAAGCTGACCATTAAGTTAGAGCAAAGAGTTAGATAAAAATTCCAGAGACTCTGATTAATGCCTTTTAGAAGCGAAATTAAATTAATTAAAGCTAGGTTAGTAATCAGCCAATATAAGAAGAAGCTAATAAGAGTACAGTATAAGGTTTTCATATCACAGACTTACTAGATTATGACAAGAAAAAAAATAATTATGAGAGCAATTTAGAGTCAAAGAGGACCAAATTTGAAGATTCATAGATCTAAATTAACGAGTCTCAGCTCAAACAACAATAAAATCAAAATGAATATGTCATAAAAAACTACAGACTGATTCAAAAATAGAAGAGGGAATTTTTCTTACCGACTACTTAGACTTAGCCTAGTTCCCCTAAAAGAAATCAAAATCCATTTGAATAAACCCATACTGCTCCGTAATCTCCAATAAGAGTTTCAAATTCTATCTTAACACCAAATACGTATCATTTCTCCACAAAAGTATCTCCAACAAATCAGATGCCATGGAATGATTAGAGCAACATATTGAGCTAGGCAGAGCGCAGTAAACCTTCAGCAACTTAAAAATTCATAAGTAAAGAAGTGAGTCTATAAGAAGAGAGCTACTCTAATTTCATCACTCAGCCTAAATATTCGAAATCTTTTAATAAGAATGAACTGACTGTGACACCAGAGGATGAGGCTCATGAGTTCGATGTTGAAAATGGTATAGACTTAGTTGAAGCTAACTTCAAGGATATTCTTGCTTCCTGGATAAAGCCAGATTTGCCAAAGAAAGTAAATGCTTAAGGATAAAGAACAGACTATGGTGACTTACTAAAAAGAGATCAATCAGTGAGCAAGATTTTCAATCAAGCTTCAAGTGATTCATTGGAGATTGAAAATGAGATGATTATGAAAATGAAACCATCACACTAAATGTATATGGAATAGATGATGGGAACTTCAATTGAACAAAAAAGCAAATAAGTTTCAACTCTAGAGTCAAAGCCTGGGAAAGGAAGTGTCATTTCAACTATGAATCCATCAGAAGATCCTTATGGCCACTTAAAAGCTAGGAATGTGTTCAAGGACAAGGCCCATGATTTTTAAAGGAAAATAGAGTTCTGCTTATAAAATCCAGACTCAAAGACTAAAGTTAAGATGATAATTGAGCTTACAAAGGATTTCTTGACTCATTTAGAAAAATAAACCCTATCTGCAGATAGATTGCCATTAGAACTTTTTGATGATTTCCTATCAGAAAATGAAATTATAAGAAAAAGAATTGATGATCGTAAGAGAATTAACAAATCCCCTTTAAGGGCTAAATCTTACTACTTTCATTTGAATGGATCAAAGGAAGAGACAGATGCAAGAGTGCTAGAATATAACACTGAGAAGAAGAAATTCTTAATTGAATTTCAATCTCAAGGAAAAACACTCTAAAAATATGCAGGCAGATTGAACCTTCACTTTGTAGACTACGAATCAAAAGAGCAGATTGAGCTCAGAAGAGTACAGGCTATTAACTTGAGAAAAGAGGCATAAAGCAAGCTTTTAGCAGAGAGACTTTTCATTAATGAGCTTGCCAAGAAATATGACTACATCAAACTTCCAAGGAAATTCAAGAAGAATATAAAGAAGAGATTAGTAATTGACCTTTCCAAATATGACTAAGAAAGAGTGAGTCTTTTAGTCATCTAGGTTGAAGCATTGTTCGTCTTCTCAGTTTTGAAATCTATAATTTACAGCTAAACAGGAGATCCATTTATTACTAGAATAGTTGCTTAGTACAAAATTGAGGAAGATTTTGAGGCTGCTTAAAAGAAAAAAGCTCCACATTTTGCATTGAAGGCGTACGAGGAAAATGGCAAAAAGCTTGAAAAGATGCTTAACAGGAATGATGCAAGGCTGATACTTCAGGATTATGCTATTGTCGGTAAAAGAAGCTTTATTGATGCTATACAATTCCTAATCAGCCAAAACGAAGAAATTGTGACAAAGACTCCTATTTTCGATTTCCCGATCCAATAGAATCTATTGGTATACGTTCTAAGTTAAGAGGAGTTTGCTGGTAAATCAATGGAGAAGTACAAACAAAAGTTAAGATTCTTCCCTGTCTAAATGTAAAACTTCATCAAGAGTCAGAGAATAATTGCAAGAAGATTTAAAGAGACTCTAGAAGTAAGGTGGACTGAAAATATTGCTAAGAAAGTCGAAAAGATAGTAGATAAAGAGTTTGACTAAAATAGCAGAGACGTCTCAAGAAAGACATTAAATCCTTATGTCTTAAAGCTTTTTGAACTAATAAGACTATTCTAAGAGAAGAACCTCTATGATAAACTTTAACAAACACTGGAAAACTATCTGCAATTCCTACTTCAGTTTGCTATCAGAGATGCTCATTTCAGGAATTCATCGCAATATCAACAATACTATTATGATTACTTTAAGGTCTTGATGAATTCTCACCCTATGATTAGAGTGGAAGTGAAAGTTAAGAAATCCATTATCTAACCAGTCATTATTAAGAACGAATCAAAACCATCAGAAATAAACCCCAATAAAAGGCAAGTGATATTTAATGAGAGTTAAAAACCTGTGGATCAACAATCACCAGTTCATAGAGACTATGAGATTACTACAAAGCCCTTGCTAGGAGATGTCTGGATTGATTTCAATGGTTTGATAGATCTCTTCGTGAATTCAGTTTCTCGTATTAGAAGAATAGATGAAATGGTAGTGCCATAGCTTAAGTTAAAGAAAAATACATTAAGGCAGCCAGATGTCGAAAAAGACGAGAAATTTGAACACTTAATCAGAATGATAAACATCATAATTGATAATATGAAGACTAAGCCAGACTAGAGAGTCTCAAAGCTCCAAAAATATTTAGTCTACTTATAACTCAACTTCGACAGCCTAATTTTTGAAATGAAAAAAAGAAGTTATGAGGAGCAAAATTCTGGATCAGGAACTGAATCTGATGAAGAGAGTAAAATTAATGTCAATCAAGATAAGAGCGCTCAAGATCATCAAAATAGAGAATAAAAACTAATGCAGGATGCTTACAAGAACATTGAAGTCTCTGAGGAAGTATACACAGTCAAATTTCAGGAATTGAGAGAAGTCTACTGGGATGTACAGCTAAGTGTAGAAAACGTATATGATTTTGGAATCGTAGCTCTGGATTGTAGTTCTTTCAAGCAAATAGTCAAGAAGCATCTTGAAAAATTGATTAATAACCTGTCTAAGTATGTGGTATCTGACTTCCTTAGCAAAATGAATAACCTATTCAACTAGTTTGAAGTCATAGAGAGAAAATCTACTGAGGAGGTGGAGACGATTGACGAAGTCATACACCTAATTGATTATATAGACAAAATTCAGAAGCCAGATGACTTAATGGATGAACTAGAGAACTTTTTAGATGTGATAAAGAATAGGAAGGATTTCATTGATACTTTGTCGTTGAGACTAATGGACTCAGATTTCATGAAATATCTAAATTTATTCAGCTATCCTAACAGACTGAGGACGTTGTTGTTCAAGAGAAAATAAAACTTAGAGAACGAGAGAAATAGGCTAAGTGAGTAGATGAATAGAGAAAAAGAGAAAATCATGAATCAGATAAATAGCTTCAGAGATGAATTAGACTATTTCAAGAATGTTGGCTTGAAGTAGCCATCAAATCCCTAGATTAATTATCCAGATGAGCTAAAAGAATAAGCAGCGAAAATGAATGTATTGAGATCCAAGTAAAAAACTCCAACTTTGCCAGCAACAACAAACCCAACTAGTGGATAGTAATCGCCGGTCACTCAAACTATCACTGACTCTATTGCTAAAAGTAGCAAGACTAAGGATGATGAACAATTGTTTGTCCCTCATGTGATTGTTGAAAGTATCTATTAATCTTAATTTCATAAATTCCTTATTAGTGTCTGAGAAGATGGAAAGACTTAAGCAAGATCTTGAAACCACTGAGCAAGATTGCGACATTATTAACAGGAGAGAAAAATTGCTGAATATGAGAATAACTAAGTTCTCATCAATCCAGAGTTTATAAAATGAGATAAAACCATTCGTTAATCTTTGGAGTATTGCTTCAAACTACACTAGAGTTTATGAAAGTAAATTAAGAATTTATTAATTTAATAGCCTGGCTTTATGGAAGCTTTTATGAGTTGAATAGTGATTAAATGGAAGATAGTATCAATGAATGGTGGAAGCAACTTACCAGAGTTTCAAAGACTCACATTAGTTAATATCAAGAACCAATGGCCATGCTTAACTATCTTATTCAAGAGTTGGAAAAATTCAAAGATTATATGCCTATGATCTCAGCTCTTAGGTCAAAAGGCCTAGAAAAGAGACATTGGGTAATGCTCTCTAAATAGCTTGGCTTCGATGTTGAGCCTCAAAACCTTACTTTACAAAAACTGATTGACAGAAAGATGTATGAGGGCACTAAACTTGACATTATTAAGGGAGTGAGCGAGATAGCAATTAAAGAATACGCCATTAAGACAACCTTAGATGCCTTAGATCACGAACTAAGAATTCTTGAATTCTAGCCCATTAAGTACAAAGAGACAAATACTTGCATTATTAAAGGCATAGATGACTTAATCACTGCATTCGAAGAGTCATCCATTAAAATTTTAGCTTTAAAATCAAACCAATACGCTAAGCATTTCATTGATAAGATAATGAGAGTCGAAAAAGAATTGAAAATTATTGTGGATGTCTTAGATGAATGGGTCAAGGCACAGAAAAGTTGGATTTATCTTGAACCAATTTTCCAATAGTAGGACATTGCTAAGCAAATGATGAATGAATCTTAGAAATTCTAATCACTTGACGCTTTCTACAAAAGAGAAATATCGAACATTAATATTGACCCAGGTGTTCAGAGATATTGCAGAAAAGATGGACTTATCACTTAGCTTTAGTATGTCAACAAAGAATTCGAGAATATAACTAAAGGTCTTTCAGTTTATTTGGAATCAAAGAGAGAGTACTTTGCAAGATTCTACTTCTTGTCAAACGAAGAAATCATCGAAATTCTAGGCTAGATGAGGGAGCCTAGAAACGTTCAAAAGTTTCTTAATAAAATCTTTGAGGGCATAGATTACTTAGGATTCCTGCCTAATGGAGAAATAAGTGGCATTTATAGTAAAGAAGAAGAATATATTGCGCTTAGGAATAATATTGAAGCAACAGAAAGTGCAGAAAACTGGTTGAAGACTCTTGAGTATGAAATGAAGGAGTCAGTAAAGTATGTTATTCATCAATCAGTGGTTGACGTTAGAATGAGAGACTTTGAGAGTTGGGTAAAATCTTGGTAAGGGCAAGTTGTCGTTGTTGTCATGAATATCATTTTGACTGAGACTCTTACTGACATATTCAACAATTAAGAACCTCACAGACTAAAAGATGTTCTAAAGCAAATTCTATTTGAAATAGAGACTTTGACTAAAATGATCAGAACAAAACTAGATTACAACACTAGGACAACAATTTCAAGTCTGCTAACAAATAGAGTGCATGCAAGAGACACTCTAAAGTAAATGATAGATTCAGATATCAGATATTCAACTGACTTCCTCTGGAATGTAATTATGAAGTATGAATATCAACTTTAAGTCAATAAGCCCCTAGGCATGACCAGTAGCAGTAGAATGGATTTCAAGCAAAATACTACAATAAATCTTGATAGGCTTGGGAACGTACAACCAAGTGAATAATCTAATTCGTAACTAAGGCATTAAGATAGTATGAAGAGCAAGACAAGTGATAAATCATAAAAATCACTAAAGTCATCAAAATCGTCAATCAGCAAGCAAAGTTATAGATCAAAAGCTACTATTAGTCCGTCAAAGTAAACTTTACAAAAGCCATCTGCTTTGGACATGTTCAAACTCTAAGATAGGGAACAGGAGCTTTCTTCATTTAAGAACCAAGAAGTTTACACTCTTCATGTGAGTATGATCGATGCCAGAAGACCATATGGGTATGAGTATCTAGGAAACACTTAGAGAATTGTAATAACGCCATTGACTGATAGATGCTACAGATCTCTCTTTATGGCTCTACATTACAATTATGGTGGATCGCCAGAAGGACCAGTCGGCACAGGAAAGACTGAAACAACCAAGGATCTTTCAAAATGTTTAGCAAAGCAATGTTTTGTGTTTAACTGTTCAAGCTCACTGAACTATATCGCCATGACTAAATTTTTCAAAGGATTGGCAACAAGTGGAGCTTGGAGTTGCTTTGATGAATTCAACAGAATCGACTTATCAGTTTTATCAGTGATATCTCAAATCATCATTATAATCTAAGGTGCTATTAGGGAAAATAGGACTGAGCTTGTATTTGAGGAGACTCCAATTTAATTCAACAAGGATTGTGCCATATTCATCACAATGAATCCTCAATATATTGGAAGAACTGAACTGCCAGATAATCTGAAGTCACTATTCAGACCAGTTGCAATGATTGTGCCTGACTCAGTATTGATTTCTGAGATTTTGCTTTATGGCTTTGGATTCTTGCAAGCCAAATCATTGGCTAGAAAGATAGTGAGAGCATTTAACCTCGCTAAGTAATAGTTAAGCAACCAAATCCATTATGACTTTGGACTTAGAAGTATCAAGATTGTCCTTCAAATAGCAGGGCTTATGAAACTGAAAGCCTCAGGAGTGATTGAGCCTGACTTTAAGATAAAGGAAGGAAAGAAAAATAAGAAGAAGGATATTTCGGATGACGGAGACATAAGCACGTTGAATAGAAAGAATGACTCCACAATTACAATTGACAACAAGAAAAAGGCAAAAAAGAAGAAAAAGAAGAGTATTAAGCAAGCCAACCCTTAGAAATAAGCTAAAAATAATTAGATCAACAAGACTCTTATGAAAAAGATTACTATGATAAATAAAAAGTTATCTGAGTCTAGCTTGGAAACAACTCATGCAGCACAATTTGAGAGGAAACTATCAGCTTAAAGTGATGAACTCAGTAATAACTATAATCATAGATTTTTCAAAAGAGAAAAGCCTGCACTAAAGAAAACAGGCCCAATTATAAGCAGTGACAATGATGATGAAGATTCCCTTGCTTTTGACTCCTCAGACAACGAAGAAGATAAAGGTAGAGACTCGTTGTATTTGGATTTCTAAATCCTATATACCAGGAATCAAAAGAGCTGCCAAAAGTATTCGAATGAGAGAAAGAAGCTCATTCGAGGTAATGTTGAGAAGATGATGCTCAAGAGACTTGAATTTATCGCTGAGCATAAGGACGAGGCTAAGCAGACTAGAAAACTCATGAAAATACTAGGAATTGATGAAGAGTAGGCTATTGAGGATGAAGAGAAAATAGAAGAGTTCATAGTTCTCAGAGCCATAAATGATACTAATGTGCCTAAACTTCACCAAACTGATACTATCATTTTCAGAGGAATCACCGATGATATATTCCCAAAGACGCTTCAGTCCTAAGTCAAGTACGGATCACTTAAGAACCTGGTGGAACAAGTACTTAACCAGAAGAGCTTCCAAGTGACTGGGGAGATAGTGCAGAGAATCTTGCATCTTTACGATAGTGTAATGGTGAGACACGGAGTAATGATAGTCGGATCTACAATGACTGGCAAAACCACTGGAATCTAAGCTTTGCAAGACACACTAAATAAGTCAAGGGATAATGAGTTAGATGAAAGGATTCAGCAGTACAAGCTAAAAAAGGCAAAGAGATTAGGTATCGCTAACTAAGAGTCATCATTTGACGAAATTGAGCTGGAAAAGAAGACAAGCATTGATCTCACAGCAGAAGAAATCAAGATGCTCAAAGCTCAGTGTAGAAATAAAGGAGTAGTAACGTATACAATCAATCCAAAAAGCATCAATATGGGACAGCTGATGGGCACCTATGATGAAGTAAGTCATGACTGGAACGACGGTATAATGGCTAATGTTATGAGAAACTGCTCTACTGATATCAGTGAAAGAAGAAAGTGGATAACATTCGATGGCCCTATAGATCCAGTTTGGGTTGAAAATCTAAATTCAGTAATGGATGATAACAAAAAGCTAACTCTGAGCACAGGAGAAACAATCAAGATGACTGGACTTATGACTATAATCATTGAGGCTGAAGATTTGACTAACTGCACTCCAGCAACAATATCAAGATGTGCGATGATCTACATGAAAGACGAAATAATTCCTTTGAAAGCAATCATCAACAAATGGATAAAGTCTTTGCCCAGCTTCCTTGAGGAATGCTGTCCTGAAATAGACTAACTCTGCAATTACTTCATCCCTGACATTTTAGAAAACTTCATTCATCAGACTAATCTGGTATTAATCTTAATTTCATAATTACACTCTATTATAGATTTACCCAGTGTCACAGAAATGGGCAATAAAGAATTTCTGCAGATACATGGACTCGCTCATAAATGATTACAGAAGTGATAAGTTTAACTCCAATAATGCTGCTGCCTTTACTATATTCAATGAGACTTAGAATGAAGAGACTGCAGTTCAAATGACTAACAAGATGACTAATGTGTTAGGCAAAAGATCCTATCATGTTCAATATGCAGATGTAGAGACTAGATTCTAGAATGCATTGGTAAGTCAATATATTAAGTAATGTGTTATAGAGGAATAAAAACATGTGGATTCAAAGTTTCTTCTTATTCAGTTTAGTGTGGTCATTTGGGTCTATTCTTAAGATCAACTTAAGAAAAGAGTTTGACAGATAAATAAGAGGGAAAATACTTTGCAACACCGAAGAGATCTCTACTATTGCTTAGCTTAAAAGTAAAATGGTAAAGAAGTAAGGACCTGGAGGACTGGGCAAGAGTAAAAACGAACCTATCAATTCTTATGAGCCCACTGGCGACTTTAAAGAGCCAGAAAAGCCACCCTACTTCTTATGTGCATTGCCGCAGAGTTATAGCTTGTTTGAAATATTCTTTGATCTGGAAACTAATTCTTGGACTCATTGGGACTAGTTAAAGAACTCAATGAAAGGTTTTGGAGATGAAGATAGCAAGTTCAAGAAGAAGGGCTCATTCTTTAACAAGTTCATTCCAACTATTGAAACAATAAGGTTGGGTTACATAATAGAAGCAAACATCATTTGCAAAAATAATCTACTTCTCATTGGCCCAACTGGATCTGGTAAATCTTGGCTGACAAGAGAAGTGATTTTCAAGTAACTTCCAAATATTTCTCCCAAGTACAAATGCTCATCAATTGTATTCTCAAACAACTCTAATGCAGAGAAGACATAGCACTTCATAGATTCAAGACTAGAGAGGAGAAGAAAAGGTGTTTACGGACCTCCATTCACACATAGATATGTCTTCTTCATCGATGATTTAATGATGCCTTTCAAGGACGATTATGGAATTCAATCTGCCAATGAGCTTCTTCGTTAATGGTTTGATTTCTAAGGCTGGTACGATCACAAATCTCTTGATTTCAAGAGAATAGAGGACATATAGTTCTTATCTTGTGTCACTGTTTATGAATCTCACAAGAATGCAATTGCCATGAGAAACGAATGGCATTGGTCTTACCTTGGAACTGTAAATATGGACGAGAGACATTATGTCTCCCTGTTCAGCTAAATTTTAGATAACTTCACAGTAAACTGGCCATAGCCCATTTAAGGAGTCCCAATAACTTCAGTAATTAAAGCAACCTTAGATCTATATGCATACTTTGAAAGGCATGTAAAACCAACTCCATCCAAGTTCCTATACATATTCAACACAAGACATATGTTCAAAATAATCTATGGAATGGCTGAAGTAGAACCAGTTTATCTCAAATCAGAATTTGAATTAGCTAAACTATGGATCCACGAATCTTGGAGAACATTATGCGATAGAATTTCAGATTACGGAGATAAGAAGATACTATTTGGAAAGTTCAATGAGGTAGCAAGAAAGCACTTCAAACTAGGAAAGAATAAGCTTTCTAAGAAAATCGGATATCCATTCTTCTGTTCTTTCAACAAAGGCAAAGACGGAATGTATGTAGAAGTAGAAGATATGAAAGAGACTACTTAGAACTTGAGAAAGTATTTGCAGGAGTATAATGAAATCCATAAGAGATCTAAGATCAATGTAGTACTTTTCGAATTTCTTGTGGAATTTCTTATCAAGATTCATAGACTTATCAAGCAGCCATTCTCACATGGTATATTAATTGGTATTGAAGGGTCTGGAAAGCATCAACTTTCACAGATGGCCTGCTTTTTGGCTAATTTCCAACTTTACGAAATCAGATTAGAGGCAAATTATACAACAGATGACTGGCAATAAGATTTAAAGAATATGCTCTAACTAGCAGGAGTTGATCATAAGGAGGTTGTATTCCACTTAAAGCATAATGAGATTATCAAAGAAGATTTCCTTGATGACATCAATACATTGATGAATAACGGAGAGATATAAGGTCTGTTCACGAAAGAAGAGTATGAGAACATTATATCTTAGACCAATATGAGAGCAGCTGGATCTATAAATAGTGACAAGAATAATACTGCCAACAACTAGATTATCTTAGCTGAATTTTCGTAGAAGTGTAGAGAAAACTTGAAAATCCTCTTGAACTTCACTCCTACTGGTGCAAATCTTCGATCTAGAATCAGAAATTACAAGTCAATAGTAAACTGCTCAACTATTGTGTGGATGGATTCATGGCCAACAGAAGGGTATAAAGAAGTTGCGGAGACTCTACTGAAGGAAGAGGATGTAGTTAATAGAGATGTTATTCTTGAAATAGCCATCAGCATTCACATGGAGACCATTAATATGGCCAAGAATTATTTTGCAGAAACATAGCACTATCTCTATATCACACCACACTCATTCACAGACTTTATTAATACTTATAAGGAGCTTTTTGAATAAAAGAGAAATAATCTAAAGGAACTACAGGAAAGATATGAAACAGGTCTTGAAAGACTAAAGAATACCTAGGACTCCGTTGAGAAATTCTAAGAGCAATTAGAGAATAATTCACCCATGCTAATTGAAAAGCAAATTGAAATGGAGAAAATACTTGAAGTCCTAAAAGATTAGCATATAAAGGTTGGAAAAAGAAAAGACATTCTAATGAGGGAAGAGGCAGAGCTGAACTAACAAAAGGAGAAAGCAGAACAGATTAAGAATGATTGCGAGGCCAATCTAGCAAAGGCAACACCTGAGTTGTTCTCAGCCATTGCAGCACTATAGAACTTGTCTAAGGTTGAGATAAATGAGCTCAAAACTCTGAAAAATCCACCTAATGCAGTCAAGTTACTGATGGAGGCAGTATGCATACTTCTAAAGGTAGAACCAATTAAGTTCAAGTCTAAGGATGGTCTTGGCTATAATAAAGACTACTGGGCAGCTGCAACAAGCAAGCATGTTCTTGGAAATCCTAAATTACAAGAGTACCTCATTCAATTTGATCACACTAATTTGGATTCTGTAATTAAGCTTAAACTTATATATTGTAGGATTCAATGGGATAATTGGAGGAACTCACTGAGAATCCAGAATTTGTTTTTGAAAATGTAGCCAGAGCATGCAAAGCAGCAAGAGGTAATAACTAGATTTTACTTATATTTTCTATCATAGGTTTATTCATGTGGATTTAAGCACTCAAGAATTACTATTATATTTATCAAGAAACTTAACCTAAGAGAGATGCACTATTCTATGCAGAAAAATAAAAGGCTGAAAAAGAGGAGCAAATAAAAGTCAAAATGATAGAATTCAAAGAACTAGAAACCAATTTGGATAAGTAATGAATATTGATTTATAAATCTATATAGATTAAAATATGAGCATCAGATAAAAGAATAAGAGACTAGAATACTTTAAAAGTAAATAGATGAGTGCTCATTGAAGAAGGAAAGAGCTACGAAATTATTAAATGGATTAGGTGGTGAAAAGCAGAAGTGGTTAGTTTGCAATAGAATGATTGCTAAAAAATTCCTAACCATTCAAGGAGATGTTCTTCTTGGTGCAGCATTCATCACTTATTTAAGCGCGTTTACCTAGAAATATAGAGAACAAAGTGTTGAGAAATGGGAGTCAATGATAAAGAATTATGGAATCAGAATTTCAGATGACTTCAATTTCAATAAAGTATTTGGAGATTAAATCAAGATAAAAGAGTGGAATTTTAATGGACTCCCAAGTGACTCATTCTCTATCAGCAATGCTATTATTCTGGAGAAATGTTAGAAGCAATGCATTTGTATTGATCCTTAGTATTAAGCTAGCAAATGGATCAAAATTTAAGAGATGGGCACTAAGCAAACAGGAGGAAATGAACTTAAGGTCTTGAATTTCAGTGATGTAAACTTTGTACAATCCTTTGAATTCGCAATGAAATTTGGAAAGAAAGTCTTGATAGAAAATGTTGGTCAAAAGATTGATTTGGTACTTTACCCTATACTAAAAAGAGATTTTGTTCAAGAAGGAGGGTTTAACACTGTGAATTTATTCGGTCATATGGTGGATATAGATAAGAATTTCAAGCTTTTTATTACTTCAGAAATGAGAAACCCTCATTTTGGACCTGACATTAGTGTCATCACAAATTTCGTCAATTTCTACGTTACTCTTGAAGGCTTAGAGGAATAAATGCTAAGCATAGTGATATCAAATCAGAAGAGTGAACTTGAGGAAGAAACTATAAAAATGAAGAAAGAGGCTTTGGAATATATTAGAATACTCAAGAATCTTGAAAATGACATACTTCATTGCCTTCATAATGATATTGAATAAATTCTATCGGATGAACATCTAATTGAAACTCTGAATCATTCCAAAAAGACTGGACGATAGATAGCAGAAAATCTTTAAAAGGTGAATAAGGCATCAAACAAAATACTTAAATCTAGAGGCATATACACACCTGCAGCTTACAGAGCAGCTCTACTTTATTTCTTGGTTAGTGATTTGTCCAAGATTGAAGTTATGTATTAATACTCTCTAAAATGGTATATCGATATTTTTACAGAAGAAGTAAAACAAAAGAAGCATACAGATCAAGACCCTCTACTTGATATCATTAGAAACTTTACTTATACTCTCTATAGAAATGTTTGCCAATCAATATTTGAAAAGGATAAACTTCTATTTACATTCCTATTAGCATTCAGAATACTTGAGGGTGAAAATTGTTTGAATATGAGATTGTTTGAATTCTTCATCAAAGGCCCACAAATTAAAGGCTATGACCATTAAGAAGTAGCTTAATAGAATAAATCTCAATCATAACTTGATAAAGATGAGCAAAGTTAATCAGGAGATGATGACGAAGATGAAGAAGAACAGTACAAAAGAGAAGAAGAAAAATAGAGAAAGGTGAAATGTCCTTGGATAACAGAGCAGCAATGGCTTGCTTTAGAAAAATTAGCTAAGATTCCACCTTTCCATAGACCTGGAATAGTGGACCATATTCTTAATAACTCAGATTAATGGCATCAGTATATATTTGCAAAGGAAACTGATAATATCTAAATGCCAGGCACATATGCTGATTATGATTTTGAGAGAGATCTAAAAATGCAAAAGAATATGAAAGCTCCTGAAGAAACGAATTTCTAGAAAGACAATAGCAAGAAAATTTAATAGAAAAAAGCTGGTCTTAGAGAAATTAAAGAAGTTGACGAAGAGGATGAGAAAATAGATGATAAAATTTGGGGGTTAGACGAAGATGAGGGTCATGATGATAACAAGCATCCAGATTATGAATCAGAAGAAGGGTTAGCTGGTGATGATAAGAATTTCTAGGATGACAGAGAAACCATTGCTGATTCACTTGTGCTTGGAGTTGGTGAATATCATGAATTTAGACTTGGAAGTGTGAGATTTGAAAAAGAAATGCTAACAAAGAAATCATAGGTACTAAAGGATTTGCTAAGATTTTGTATCATAAGGATATTTAGACCTGAAAGAATAGTAAGAGAAGTTTAAAGATTTTTGGGATCAGTCCTTGACCCAAGATTCATGGAACCTCCAGTTTTCAATCTCGCAACATTATACAAGGAAACAAATTGCTACAGTCCGATATTATTCATTCTTAGTCCAACAATAAACACCCTAAATGAACTTCAAATTTTAAAGTACCAAATTCAATCAGAATAAATTAAGATTGAATACATGCCACTTGGAAGTAATATCAATGACAAAGTTCAGCAACTTATTTTGAGATCTGCTGTTTAAGGGAATTGGCTACTACTTGAAAATCTGCATCTTGTTACAGATTGGATACCGACTCTTGAAAAATTCATTCATACGATGTACAAAGAAGATCGTAAAGAAAACCTAAATGAAGCAGATTAAAGTGATTCTGAGGTAGATACTCAAAGACCTGGAGATCCAAGTATTCCGAACGTTTAATCATCAACAACTCAGAATCAAAATATAAATTTGTTCCCTGAATTAAAAGGATGCAGAATAAGCTCTAAGTTCAGATTATGGTTGTCTAGCATGCCGGTCGATTATTTCCCAGTAAGCTTTTTGTAATAATGCACTAAAATCACACTTCAACCAGCCTAGGGTATAAGACAAAATGCTTTAAAGATATTGAATTCAATAAGTCATGAATTTTTACAAAAGTGCCCAAGAAGACAAGGTGAATTTAGAAGACTATTCTTCGCATTATGTATATATCATTCAGTTGTAAGCGAAAGGCTGAGATATGGACCTATCGGATGGAGTCAACCTTATTATTTCTCAGAAAATGATTTCTTAATAAGTAGCATTTAGCTTCAAGCTTTGGTTGGGAAAATTCAAACAAGAAAGACCCCTCTGCCATTGGAACTCATTAGATATCTTGTTGGGACATTAAACTATGGTGGAAGAATCATCAAGAAATAAGACGAAATAACGCTAAATGCTATTCTATAAACATTTATATCAGAGAAGACTACAACCGAACCAATGTACAAGCTTACAGGCTCTCAAGATTCTGGAATTTACTTTATCCCTGGAGATGGTGACTTAGGCTTTTATAAAATTCACATAACGAAATTCCCAATCTAGGATAGGCCAGAGATTTTTGGGCTTCATGAGAATGCTACTCTCATGAGAACAACAAACGAAGGTAAGAATCTCTTAGAACGAATGTTTGAATTTGAATTCGCGAGCAAAGAAATTATAAAAGCAACAAACATGCTTGATTAGAATGAAGATGATAACCTTTAGAAGTATTCAAGCATTAAAAAGAGAATTTAAGTGATAATTGAAGATTTACCTGAGCTTTTGGATGAAGAGTTATGCAAAACAAAGTATCCAATTTCATATGATCATTGCATCAACACATTGATTACTAAAGAGATTTAAAGATATAATATGCTTTTGCAAGTTATTTATGTCAGTTTAAAGAATACTCTGAAGGCTCTTGAAGGTGTTATTCATATTAATAATGTACTTGAGGAAATATATAGAGCCTTGACCTATGAATATGTACCCAGAACATGGTATAAATACAGCTACCCATGCTTCAAATCACTTCAGCAGTTTTTGGCTAATCTTAAGGAGAGAATAGGATTTATTAGAGATTGGTTAACAAACACTCATCCAGTCAGCTATTGGCTACCTGGATTCTTTGACCAACAGAGTTTCTTTACGATGCTTTTGTAATAGAAAGCTAGAAATGAGAAGATATCGATTGATCTACTAAGTATTGAGTATAAAGTAATGAGGAGATCCTTAAGCGACAAAGGGCAAATAGTGGAGAAGCCTACTGATGGGTGCTATATTTATGGCCTTTGGATTGAAGGAGCTAATTGGAGCGATGAGCATAATCAACTTATTGATTGTGAAAGTAGATAGCTATATTAAGAGATGCCTTACTTCCATCTCAAAGTTATTAAGACTGTAGATTTTGAGAAATCTTACTCATCAGAACAGTACTATTCAGCTCCTCTCTATTTAGTGGCATTGAGAGAAAGATTAGACAGTGAGTTCAGTTAAGGCCTAGTAACCAATATTCCTCTTCCTATCGGGCCTAACTCCTATCCAGGATTTTGGATTAAGAGAGGAACTGCTCTACTTTGCCAGAAAGAAGAATGATAAATAGAAACCTCTATAAGAAATAATGATTGCTATTTTAAACATATAAATTAATCTTAATTTCATTAATATTCATATTTCACATTCTGTTGTTATGGTCTGCTAGAAGAGTATCATCCCCTTCACCTTCATTATCATATTCTGCATTATTCTCTAGTTTTTACCTTTCTATGATGTATTCATCCAAGTATTAAATGAACTATCTTATTTTGACTAGGTAATCTGATGCAAATTTCTCAACATTATTGTGACCTGCTCCCTCCACATAGTAAGGTGGATATTTGATCTTAGCAGCTGCATACAACTCCTCTGCATGGTAAAATGGTACTATTTCATCTCTCCGCCCATGAATGATAAATACAGGGGAGTCTATCTTCGGCATGCGGTCGATATTTGGAAATTTATCAAAGGGTAAGGTAAATCTTAGATTAAAAACAACTCTTAAGGCAGACATTATAGGAGAGTGTAGAATAACACCAGCTACTTCATATTTCTCTGCCAAAAAGCTGGATGGTCCAGAACCAATTGATCTCCCATAGAGAATGATTCTATTTGGGCTGACATTTAGATTCTCAGTGAGGTAAAGATAAACTGTTTCAATGTCATCGTATAGCGACTATTCTTGAGGAATCTTGCCGTTACTCTCACCAAAACCCGTGTATTCGTAAACAACTGCATTAACATGCACGTTTTTCAAGAAGTAACTTTCAAGCCATGTTTAAACAAGATAAATGTCCTCTGCATTTCCATGACTGAATATCATAGTATACTTCGCATTCTTATTGATGAAAAGTACTTGTAACTTTGAACCTGATTTAGAATGCAAGAACAGATGATCCGGATTCATTGGGAATCTAGAAACTGGAGGTTAAAACAGAAGCTTTGAAATTAGAGTCTGACCCATATTTTATAATTTATAATCGATTTCAATTGCATTAAAAATCTTTAATTCTTAATCTAAGGGGTTTTGGGGTTTTGGGGTTTTGGGG